AGCGGAGTAAGGGATACTGTTGTTTTATATTAACTTGAAACTCTCTCGAAAATAAAAAGCAGCACTGTAAGATGCCCTAATAGTACGTGAATGTGTCTCACTGAGGGAGAAATATGCTTAACCTATTTAAACCATTGGTTGCCATTTATGCAGGTGTAATGGTACACGAGCTGACAAACTCCGTCTTCGCTCCAGATAACCAGCTGATGCTGGGGAATCCAGACAAGATGCAATTCCTTGCCTGCGCTCTACTCTGCCGTGGTGACATTTCTGTACGCGACATTCGGAATGCTGTGATACGCTTGAAGAGCAAGCGACAGATCAACATGGTTGACTGGTGTCCCACCGGATTTAAGGCGAGTTATGACATACACAAAATTTTGCCTGGTTTCAGAGATAAGGACATTATATGGCTTATAGAGATGATCAATCTATGAAAATAATTGGATAGCAAAGCATGCAAAAATATTCTAAAATTTATCTTAACGTATAATTTTGAAAATTTGGTTGTTTGAGAAATGTAAGTATAATGATGCTAAAAGGAAACATTTATTCAGCAGCATGAAGAGGAGCATCAAGGACAAATGAAAGTTTAGAGCAAGCTAGTGAAATGATAGGATCCGGGTATGGAATCAGCTCCAATGAGTAACCGGTGTGGGTCCAATTTGGCGATATAGAAGTTGAGGACCACAAACATTCGAATAATGCAGCACAAAAAGTGCTAAGCTAAGGGTCATGATCTGGTTAAATTCATCGGCATTGGAAACGGTTGGTGTAGAGGATTATGCCTCCCTAAATGCCATCGAAGTGGCACACTTATGGATGATATTAGATCACACGAACACACAGTTTGGTGTGAATAGGTAGGTGCATCATATAAGGTGGCATTAGGCAATAGATATGCAGCTCCAAAAGCTAGGACAAAAATGGAGATGAATAATGCCATAGTTATCGAACAGACAATTTGTCAAAGGGATTGCCCTTATTTGTCCCTTAGGCAAGTTGTAACTATGTGTTAAGGATGGTGCTTCTCAGTGACGATGTCAGCCACTATGCCGGTGAGGCAATGGAGCATGTACCAAGTCATTCGTCTGATGTTGGAAATTAGCCCAAATACTATGTCAAAGGACGCTGAACTAAGTATGTTCCATAGGGTCTCACTGTTGCATAAACCAAGTTGCGAAAACTAGATAATACCAGCACAATAGTAGTGTAATTTGAATGTAGACTTCAGATTCTTATCAAAGGTATGAAGAACAACATGGTGTGGCATTTTGGTGTGGTCGCAGTCTCTTTTCGTTGTATAGAAGTAGTTTGATCTTGGCTTCGCAACTTAGTAATATTGGCAGGAAGACCAAGAGAACGCACCTAGTCCGGAGTTCATTGTATGCATGATCAGTTCCAGAGTAGGACCGTCGACTTGACACGTTCCCAGACGTTTCGTCAGCATTGTCAGTGAGTCTTGTCAGTCTCAGCAACCAAGCTACAACTCGTCAAAGGGACAAATGAAATCAATCTCTTTACCCACTTTCTGTCGAAACGGTTATTCTATCACTCCTCGTTTTATCTAGGTCCCTCTATCCATTTCATACCCTTCAGTCTCGCTCTTGTTCTACCACAACTTCTGGCATGTTTATATTCCACAAGAGATGTGCCCTTTTAGCGAATTTACCGTGTCGTCATCACACCTTCTTCTTGCCTTGCTCCCCTACCTTTCGAGTGACTGATACTGCTCTAGTCTCCTCCCCTGATCTGCTTCATGGGCCCGTAGGTCCGTTTCTCATCTTTCTGGTTGACCCATTTCACCCGGTTCTAGCCCAAACATACTTTTATTCTAGGTGCTACTTCTCGAGCCTTCAGTAGCCCGCACAATGTCAGCATGGCTAAATTGCGAAAACAAAGTGAAACAACTTCTATAAAACGAAAGGAGACCGTAACCATAAGAAAGGCCATACTATCCTGGTCTTCGTACCTTCGTTTAAGATTCTAATGACTTGAATTTATTTATGAGGTTTTATCATTTTACACAAAACACGAAAGATAGGCTGGCATTTCTTGTCCCTTAATCAAGAAAGAATCATCACATACTTTGTGAGCAATTGTATAGTTTTGAAAAGATTAATTGATTCAACAATTCAGTAAAACTTAAGTTTCCATTTTATTTCACTTAACCTTGCCTTCTCAAAGAGTATTCTTATGCGGAGTGGACTGCAGTTTCGACCTCGCTTGAACTGGTCCAATCTGCACCTCCAGCTGAACTCTATCGTGATAGGGCAGTGTATATTCTTGACTTGTCCCGACGGAGTGGCTGATGATACCTGGATGGGAATAACTTTTGGGATGCAAGGTTATGTGAGATTCAATGTAGACATAGGATCTACACTTGTCATTCTCAGAAAATGCAACCATCAGTCCTTCAACACCTTTAATTAAAAAAGGGTAAATATTTCTCATATATATATATATATATGAAATATTGTTAGACCCTAAATCTACTAATCAAAGAAAAAGAAAGTGCAAATGGGCCAATTTTCCTAATGGGCAAACGAATAGGTAGAAAACGAATAAGCTTAGAAAACTCCACTACTATTACCACTAGAGTGGTGCTACATAATGCTGCTTTATAGTAGGCTTCCTTTTTAGAACATTGGGTAAATTATATTCTGCGTGTTGTGTAAAATAAATAAGCAATTAATTTTCTAATTTTAGCTGTAGCAAGACTAAATAAACTAGTATTTTTCGAATTAAGTATTATTTTCGTGACTACCAGTAAATCAGTAATATGAGATGTATTCACCCAAT